ACCCCACACCTGCAGTGTGTGCTCCTAGCATTGTAGCTGAGCCCTGATCTCATACCCTCTGCCCAGAAATGGCTCCCTTCCCCACTACCCCATCTCCTCCTCCAGGAAGTCGGCCCTGATCTCACCTGTGTGCTCCCCTTCTTGCCCTGCCCTGCCTGTGTCAGTGGTGCTGCAGTTGTGTTTCTTGTCTGTTGCATCCCTTCAGGGTGAGTTCCTTGAGAGCAGGGGCTCAGCAGGAGTTTTCTGAACCAAGCTCGCTGTGAGTGGGACCGGGGCCCAGCGGAGCATCTGAGAAGAGTGTTCTCTGTCCGAGCCTTCTTCCTCTCCCGGGCCCCTTGGGTAGCCCAGGCCACTCGCCTAAGAGCCACCGGACTGCGGACTCGTGCTGATGCTGGAGGGCTGATGGCCACACTGCACCAGAGCGCCTCCTGTGTGCTGACACTGCTTCCCACTGTTTGGCCCCCTTCTCTCTAGCCCTCGCGGAGCCCTGTGTGGGAGTGTGGAAGAAAAACAACCCTCTAAAAAAGAAGCTGGTCGGGAACAGCGCTGTGGTGCCGTGGGTTCAGCTGCTGCCTGCAGCACCAGCATCCCATATGGGCTCCATGTCCGATCTGGCTCCCTGCTAGTGCATCTGGGAAGGCAGTGGGAGGTGGCCTGAGTCTTTGGGCCCCTGTATCCACATGTGAGACTCAGGAAGCTCCAGGCTCCTGGCTTCAGCCTGGCCCAGCCCTGGCTGTTGCAGTCATTTGGGGAGTGAATCAGCAGATGGAAGATCTTTCTCTCTCTCTGTCTCTTCCTGTCTCTCTAACTTTCAAGTAAATAATTTTTTTAAAGGATCTGGTATCACTTGTGTTAAAAGATACCAGGCGGTTCCCCGACCCTAGCTTTCCTTTGCCTGTGCAGTGCCGCCTATTACAACAGGTCCAGCAGGGCCACAGAGGCGCCCCTCCCTGCCAGGCCCATGCTCTACGGTGAGCGGTGCTGAGTTCCGTGGTCTGTCCTTGTCTTTGACGCTTATACCAGCACGTTCACAGATACCTGTCTTGTGTGTGTGCATAGAAGAGCTTTTGTTCCCAGACGCTGGATCATGTCGTATTCAGTTCGATAACAGACTCTTTTCAACCATTCTATCATGGGCATCTTTCCAGAACAATCCATACGCAGTCTTTTTTTCTTGTATAGCTCTGTAATAGTCCTTAGAACAGATATATTTTATGGTGAGCTAGTCTCTGAGGTTCAGAAATTCAGGTTGTTTCCAGGTGTGTTTGTTTTTTCACTCCTTCAAACAATGGCACAATAAACATCTTTGTACATCGCAAAAAAGAAGACGACAGAAAGGATGCCGGAGTTGCAAAAGGCTGTATGGCTGGCCCAAGGTCCCGCAGCCTGCGATGGCTGGAGCAGGGATTAGAGTCCATTGTGGTCCCTGCTCAAAGCCCTTTTCTGTCCGTGGCCCTGCCGCAGCCGCAGCCAGTCTGCGGAGCAACGCCCCTCCAGAAGGGCCCAAAGGGCACAAGCTGCCTGTCTCTGCCCCAGCCTCCCGTCAGGGGTCTGACAGCTTCTGCAACCTCTCCCGGGCGGGAGCCCTGACGTCAGGGCCCGGCTGCCTCCCCTGGTAGTGTTTGCTAATTGGTATTAGCCCAGCAGTTGCTTTAGAAACCGGCTCTGATGAAACAACGGCTAATTACATAATGAATTCCCCGAGGAGCAGGCTGTTGTGCCGTGGCTCAGCCGTGTGTGGGGCAGGAGCCGGCTGAAGGGGGGCGTTGGCGATGAGCTGACAGCAGGACCCCCGCAGCGCGCCTCTGCATTTTTCCGTGGTGACTATAGGATGGATTCGGGTACTTGAGTGACCCGCGGGGATAATGCACGGGGCCATGGGCCACGGGGAAACATCTGTGCCATTTTGCTCCTAGTAGCCCAGAGAAAGCTGAGTGCGTAAGAAGCTTTGTTTTGAAATGTGTTTCCAAAATAAAGGGTTTCATAACAGCCATGATTGCAGAAACAACTGCTGATGGGGCTGGCTTCCTGGAAAGCAGAGGCTTCCTTGACAGTCGGGGTTTAAAAGGCCAGGCCAAGTTACAAAACAGGTTTACCTAATTGAAGCTTGGCATGGACCTGCACACACGCACATGCACGCACGCCTCCATAGGGCTGCAGGCTTCCTTGTGGTCTCTACCGAAGACCACTGAGCCTTTGTTTCAAGGTCTAGGGTAACAGAGTCTATCCATAGGATTCCCCATTCTGCTCCCATCCCTGAGGCCCTGTGCTAAACAGAGGCCGGAGGCTGTGTTCTGGCCACAGCTAACTGGAGCAGGCCCTGAGGCTCAGCCAAGGGCAGCCCCCTCGTAGGCCAGCAAGGTGGATGCTGTCCATAGAGACTCAGGATCGGGCAGCAGGGCCAAGGGGGCCCAATCAGATCCTCTGCTTTCTGGTGGCAGGCAGGAAGGGAAGAGGCACAGGTTAAGAAGGTTCCATGGGGCCGGTGCTGTGGCGCAGCGGGTTAACACCCTGGCCTGAAGTGCCGGCATCCCATATGGGCACTGGTTCTAGTCTTGGCTGCTCCACTTCCAATCCAGCTCTCTGCTGTGGCCTCGGAAAGCAGAAGATGGTCCAAGTACTTGGGCCCCTGTACCCACATGGGAGACCCAGAAGAAGCTCCTGGCTCCTGGCTTCGGATCAGCGCAGCTCTAGCCGTTGTGGCCAATTGGGGAGTGAACCAAAGACCTCTCTATCTCTCTCTGCCTCCCCTCTCTCTGTGTAACTCTGACTTTTAAATAAATAAATAAATCTTTAATTAATAAAAAAAAAGAAGGTTCCAGAAGCAGGGCAGCCGGGGCTCTCTAGGGGACAGCTGACAGCAGTAAGAGGAGACTGAGGAAGACTATGACAAGATTTCCAGAGCTAAGGAAACCCAGCGGTCTCCCAAGGGTGCCTCCTGTTCTTGTGGAGCCTGACGTATCGCCCGCATGTGGCCTCCCACCTCCGCATCCCCAGATAGTCTCCGAACCTGTTTAGCGTCTTTTTCCTAACGGATCCCACCCAGCCGAGTGCCCGCCCATCCTCTGGCCCCTGAACGTGATAATGTGGGGTGCTGCAGACAAGCGAGGGGAGCAGTGGGTACAGGGGAACCACCAGCCATGCGCGGCCTCCCTGCAGCCCCGCCTTAGGCGGTTGGGCCGGGCATCCTGACTCGGGGAGCATCTGCTTGCCTGTCAGAAGGAAGTGGGGGAGGCGCTCTGTTGAGGCGGGGCACTTCCGGCGGCCCAGGGGACCCGGTTTCCAGCCCGGAGGAGTTCCCCGCAGAGGTGGAAGGACACGGTTCTGCTTTGGATTTGGATAGGGTCTTGCTGCATTTTTCCGATGTTGGTTCAACGAAACTCAAAACTGTTTTTCCTAACGCTTTCTTCCCCTGGTTTTCGAGTCACTCTGTCTGCGCCGAGAAAGGCGGTACATGTGCTTTTGATTCCTCGCCCCTGAAATCATCACCCTTTCTCTGTTGAGAAATCCCATGTCTCGGAACCCTTTGGAGACATGTAAGCCCTTTCACCCCCTCTTAGAACCAAGGCCCTGCGTGCTGCTGCAAGCAAACGAACACGAAGAGTTTCAATCAAGACAAAAGGCATTCCTCCCCGCCCGATGGCGTGGCACAGCCAAGGACGACCCCAGCGGCAGCCGCATGCCCAGGAAACAAGGCTTCGGAGAAATCAGCACCTGCGTGAAGGCACAGCGAGTGACAAGTCGCAAATGACTGTCCAGGGCTGACTTGTCCTCGAGCCCTCCAGCTGCCGTGCACCGGTATCTGTCTCGCCAGTGCCGGGCAGTGCAGGCTCACACCCAGCCCGCCGGTCCCTTGCTCTGCCCTCAGTGCCCCACCTCTTGCCTTGTGTCTTGAGGGCACCTGATGGTGATTGGTGATGTGGCAGGGGTGCTGGGACAGACTGCACATGAGCTGCAGGAAGCTCACTGGGAGTGGTCACTGGGAGTGGCCCTCACCTGGGCCGAGAAGCAGGGCTGTCTGTGCTGCCAGGTGATGCTGTGCAGGTGGTGAGGGCGCACAGGCTGCCGGAGTTCAAGTGCCGGCTGCGCCACTCCCCAGCTGTGGGGCTGGGGTGAGTGGCTTTGCGTCTGTGCGTGCGCTGCACCCTCGGTGAGGCGAGAATGGTTGCAGGCTGCCCAGGGCTGTGTGTGTCTGCGAAGCTTTACCTGCCTGGCATCTGGCAGAAGCTTTTTGAGTGGTTACTGTTGTTATGAATGTTGTGTGCATGAATGAAACGGTGTGACGTCCTGATGCACTTTAAAGCGGGTGTGGGGGTGGGGAATTGGGTGCGATTCGGATGAGACAGGGCTAGCCATGATTTTGGTGATGTTGGAGCTGGGTGGTGGGTACATGGGGGTTCGTGATGCTGTTCTTTCTCCTTTTGGTCTTGAAACTTAATAAAAAGAACAAGTTTCTATAATAAAATGTTGCTTATGCATAGATAGAGGCATATACACATGTTTGAGAGAATGATGCTTCTAGCGGAGCGAGGGGAGCTGGTGAATGCAAACTCTTTGTTGGTATGTCTCTAATAAATCAAATAAATAAGAAATTAAAAATCAACAAAGCCTCACTAGGAATGGTATGTATCAGAACAAGCTGGTTTTAACTGATATGGAGATGAACTTACACTTTTAGTAATTAATTACTTTAATTATAGGAAGTGATATGGGGTGTGATAATGCAAAAAGACTTTCATGTAAAATGAAGTTTAGCAGAAGGAGTGGGCTGGCTTGGTGCAAGCAGCGAGGAGACCCCGAGAAGGAAGAGCTATGCGGCTCTGGAGGGCACGGAAGCACCACTGAGGTTGAGAAAGGGCTCCCGTTCACTGCCCTGTGAGGGCTCCGTGCAGAGCTGGTGGGGTCGTTTATCTAAACGGTTCCGCAGGGGGCTCCCCGCAGCAAGAGACTATGGGCTGTGCAGATACACGGACCTGGCTTCAGTTCTCTGCCTCACAATGTCTGTGTGACACCAGGCAAATGACCTGCGTGCTCTCCGCCTCTGCCTCAGCATCTGTGACCCTGGGATGCCACCACACCTCAGCAGCCATGTGCCAGGCCTGGGCGTGGGCCTCAAGGGTTCAGATCTTCATTCAGAACAAGTTACACTGCGATTTTAGACACAATTCTGACAAGGGCCTTTCTTCCTTTTGCTGTTTCTCAGTTTGTGGCTCCTGAGACATGGACAGGAGTTGGGGGGCCTGCTCTGAGTGGATGGAAGTAGGAGCAGTCAGTGGGCACAGTCACCCTGTCGTCCTGTGAATCTTGAGTTCATCCCAGCAACACCGTTGGTGAGTTAATAACTCCTGCTGGAAATAGCCCCCAGTCCCCAGCCCCCAAAGCCGAAGCCCTTCTGTGTCTCACTCACTGACCCCGGTTTTGATTTTGTGTTTGCTGTGTGCCAGGGACCAGGTTAAATGTTCCAAGTTCAGTTTCTGATGTAATCACCATGACAGCCCTCCCAGGAAGGTGTCACTGTTCCCACGTCACAGCTGAAAGAGCCGAGGCTGAAGGGATGTGATGACTTCCCAGGGGCTCCGTGGCAGGTGAGTGGCAGGACCAGGATCCAACCAGGTGTGAGCCCCAAGCCCGTGTGCCTGGTCACAGGACCCCATCAGCCTCTGTCTAGTGGTCCTACACACTTCTCAGGGGACCCCATGGCTCCCAGGTCCTGCCATCCTTTCTCCCCAGATGTGGGCTGGGTCCTGCATGGTGGGACCAGGTGCTCATCAGGTGCGCTTCTGGGGAGAGCTGCCTGCCTACAAGTGAGGACAGCAGCCCGAGGCGGGCTGCAGCCTGCAGCCTGGCTGGCTTGGGTTGTTCCCAGTCTGGGGTTCTGCCGACATTTGCACTTGAAAGGGCGAGCTGTGCACATCTTCCGAGGAGCAGCAATGACAGGCAGTCTTTGAACATTTGCAAGCTGAATTTAAAATCACAAGGACCTACTTATCTGTGTGTGATGGTGGAGGCACAAGGGATGGAAAACATGTGCCTTGGTTTCTGTCGCTTGTGCCCAGAATCCCAAAGGTAATGACTGCGTTTCGCAGATTTTCAGATCATTTTCCACTAATGCAGTGGTCTTCCTTGGAGACTCTCTGGCATCTGCCACTGCCAAGGAGAAAAGCAGTAGCCCATGGTTTAGATATGGTAATGTCCAATAGTTGGCACTGAGTTCATATAGCGTTTGCGTGGGGCCATCTCCTTACAGGAAAAAGTATTGGTGCTTTTGGAAGTCACACTAGGAGACACTCCCCTGATCACAGGTAAAAGGGCACCAGAGGTGAGGCCTGCACACACACACAACTATGACACCTGGTGAGGGGCAAAGGACATGAGATATTGTGTGAGACCAAAGGATGGATACCTCTCCCTGTCTAGGAGAGCCAGGAGGGCTTCCCATTGGAGGTGATGTTTGTACCGGCTCTTGCAGGAGGCCTAGGAACCGGCATCTGCGGAGTTGTGAGATGTCCAGGCTCACTTTGGAGCCAGCAGGACTGGTACTGAGAAGCAAGAGGTTTGGGGTTTTTGTGGGGAGTGGCTGAGACATGGCAAGATGGGGAGGGTGGGGGTGGGAAGGCTGTGCTGGGAGCCCAGTGATCTCTCAGGGAGGAGAGGAGGCTGGAAAGGACTCAGCGGCCACCTGGGTTGAGGGAGGGCTCTGGGCCAAGGCTGTCCCCTGGCTTTGGGTGACCGGGGAGACTAGACAGGTGTGCATGGAGGTTCACGAGAAGGCGGTGGTGGTCAGCTATGTGTGACGTTCCCATGTAATTAGGAGAGTATAACAGACAGGGCAGGAGTCGGACCAAGAAGGGCTCGCATCTAAATCTTGGTTTCATTACTGCATGCCCCTGGGAAAGCCACATAACCTCTTGGAGTCTCAGTTTTCTTATCTGCAAAATGGCACCAATACTCAGTAGACTCTTTCTGAGCATTGCTTTATATTTCGTAAATGTTGAGCACTGAATTACATGATCCCAGGACCTGGCCCATGCTGGGTGCTTGAGTTAACCCAGACAGGCAGGTGGGGGAGGAGCAATCTGGGGATGCCAGGGCTTCTCGTTTGGAGTGATGGGCACAGCCAGGTGAGACATTCCATGAATGCCATGAGCTGCACCCCTTGTTTTGGGCTAAGCAGGCGGGCACAGGTGCAGCGTGTCAGTAGCTGGTCAGAGGCGTCTGAAGGCAGTGTTTTTGTGTGGTCCCTGAAAACAGCCCATCTGTGCAGGCAGACTCGAGGGTTGCACAACTGTTGATGTTTCCAGTGGTCCCCGCGGAGCTAGGTCCCGGAAACCAGAGCCATGCCTGGGGATGGATGCACAGTGAGATCAGCAAAGACTGCAAGGAACTGTGCATCCCACAGTCTGTGAGTGCCTGTTAGCACACTCATGAATGGGCATCGCTCCCCTTCGGGACATCAGGTCCCAGGAAACAGAACAGCTGCTGCGCCGGTTTCATCTCTGTGAATAGGGAAGGGACCCAGTGCTGGCAGGGGCTAATGAGATCTGAGGGGAGATGCCTGAAGACAGATGGACAAGTGGATACTCGATCTAGCAGCCAAGACCCCAGGGCCATCTACAGACGAGCAGCGCGAATGGCATCTCCAGGCACATGTTCCACTTGCGTTCGGCACAGGTGCTGCGGGAATTCCTGCAGCTTCTGCCCAATGCATTCACCTGATCACCTCTTCCTGCTGGAACAACCTTGACCTGCACAGCGGCAGCCAAGCTGGGTGCCTGGGCTCTGCAGTGGCCACTGACGTGAAGATCAGGGTGTGAGATATTTCATGGAGCAGCAGCCAAATCTGCTGCGCTGGGGAGCCTGGGGAAGTCTAAGCATTTACTGCAAGGCTTTCCCGAGCATGTGCCATGTGCTCTCCAGGGTGCTCGGTGCCCTGGGGAAGACCCGAAGAGAGACCCAAGCCTCCATTTTCAGGCAGTAGGCCTTCTGGCCAGTGGTCAACAGTTACCGTGTGAATCAATAGAGGGGGAGCAGAGAACAATTAAAGAACTGCCAGTACCACCCCGCCACGCATTTGTTCATCTGCTGGGCACATGCCTTGGAGCCTCCTTTCTCTGCCAGGCCTGCGCTGGCCCTGGTTCTGCCCTCTGGAGCTCATGGTCTGATTTGGGGTTGCAGCTGCATGGTCAGTGCAGAGCAGACAGAAGCGGAGGGTGTTTTGTGTGCTCACAGGGGTGGTGGCACCCGAGTTGAACCTTGAGGGCAGCACAGGAGCTGGGCAGGCTGCTGGAGAGGGAGGACACTGCGGGGGCCAGTGGTCCCCTCGTGGAGGCCACGCTCATCCGTGGTCATAGACTGTCTTCTCTCTTCTGAGAACAGGGACAAGGGAGGCCCAGAAAACCCTGCAGCCTGGGGCATGCTGGGATGCTCCTCCAGGGTGCCCACTACTGTCCATGCCTCTAACACATCTGGGCCCTCCCTTCACCTCTGTCCCAGAGTGACAGGTCCTGACCCTCATGTAGCATGAGGTGCTCACTGCTGTCCCCTAGGCAGTGAGCAGCCACCACACGCCAGGCCCAGGGCTAAGGACCCTGCACATCCCATCTCATTTAAACCTTGTAAAAATGCCTTGGGAGGTTGAGAGAGGTGAGGTGACTCTCCCACTGCTTCCTGGGGAGGGAGAAGCAGAGCCAGCGTCTAAATGCTATCCTTCCTCCCCTCTGAAAAGCCACCTGTCCAGGGTGTGAGCTAAGTCCCTGTGCCTTTTGTTTCTGCCAGATCTTGTTCAGTCATTTGGGTGGCAAGATCATGGGAGTCCACAGGAGAGCTGTGGCCCTTTAGGCAGCGGGGTGAGGGCAGCCCTGGAGCCACGATAATCATCTGTGCCACCAGCAACTCAGCATCGTTGTGGGGTGACTTTATAAACAATGCTTAACCTCCTTGGGACCCATCTCCACCTCTCCTGCTGCCAGGCAGACCCATGACAAGGGCCAGATTCCAGAAGGTTCCCATGGGAAGTGCTGTGCACCTGCTAAGGAGGACAAGAGTTCTGTCCTGATGGAGGGGGAGGGCGTTGGGAGAGTTAACGTGGGATAGGACCCAGGTGCTGTGTCAAGGGAGCTGGAATACAAAGCTGGTTAGTGGAAGAGTTTATTGATATGGTGGCACATTCGGAATTGGATATCCTGGGAAGAACCACAGAAGATGGTGCTGATATGCCACCAGGATTGCTTTTAGAAACTCAGTGGGGCCGGCGCTGTGGTGCAGTGGGTTAAAGCCCTGGCCTGAAGTGCTGGCATCCCATATGGGCACCGGTTCCAGTCCTGGCTGCTCCTCTTCCGATCCAGCTCTCTGTTATGGCCTGGAAAAGCAGTAGAAGATGGCCCAAGTCCTTGGCCCCTGCACCCATGTGGGAGACCCGGAAGAAGCTCCTGGCTCCTGGCTCCAGATCTGCACAGCTGCAGCCGTTGCAGCCATCTAGGGAGTGAGCCAGTGGATAGAAGACCTCTCTCTTTGTCTCTACCTCTCTCTGTAAGTCTCTTCCAAATAAATAAAAATAAATCTTTAAAAAAAAAAAAGAAACTCAGCAAAAATGCCAACCTACACCAAGTGATGAAGACATGACAGCCTGCTGGGGCAGGCAGCCCAGCAGGATCAAAAGACTTAGGGCCCAGAGTGGATGTACGATGTAAGGTTGGGAAGAGTTGGTCATGTTCTGTGGGAGGGCCAGGAGCACACTTTCCAGAGTGATCAGGAATGCATAGCAAGGGGTGCTTGCATGATGGAGAAGCCCAGGGGCCCAGGACTGGCATCGAGCAATGCGGCAGCAGCACTGTCTCCTTTGTAGCAATGGGGAAATGATAGGAGCCAAGTGGCAGTGCTTAACCATCAGAAGTCAGGTGGGTGTAACTATGGTGATGACTGGCCATGCCCGAGTGGCAGCAGGAGGGCCCCGCCAGCATAATACTGCAGAGGTAGTTAATGGACCTCAGTGTCCCTTGTAAGACTGCGCTATGGTTTGAATGTCCCGGGAAGGCTCATGTGCTGGAATTGTAATTCCACAATGAGGCGGTGTTGGGAGATACATGCTAGGGGAGGTCTTTGGATTATGGGCTGGGGCCCTCGTGAATGAATTAAAGCCCTTGCTGCATGAGTTCTGGCTCTCACAGGGACCTGATCCCTTATCAAGAGAGGGGTTGTTCTAAATTGAGGCTGGCCTTTTTTTTTTTTTTTAAGAGAGAGGAGAGGCAGAGAGAGAGAGAGAGAGAGATCTTCCATCCGCTGTTTCACTCCTCAATTGACTGCAGTGGCTTGAGCTGCGCCAATCCAAAGCCAGGAGCCAGGAGCCAGGAGCCAGGAGCTTCCTCCGGGTCTTCCCATGCAGGTGCAGGGTTCCGAGGACTTTGACCATCTTCTACTGTTTTCCCAGGCCACAGCAGAGAGCTGGATCGGAAGTGGAGCAGCCGGGACTCAGACCGGCACCCATAAGGGATGCCAGCACTGGAGGTGGCAGCTTTGCCCACTACGCCACAGCACTGGCCCCTCCTTTCTACTTTCTGCCTTGGATTAAAGCAGCCTTGAGCCAAGAACCCTATCTGAACTATGTTCTTGGAATTCCCAGCATCCAGAACCATGAGCCAACTATACCTATAGTCTGTGTGCCCAGTGTGAAGGTTGGATAGGACATGACTCCTGAACTCATGTTAGACAGTTCAGTCTCAGAGTCATGGACTGATGGTGGCAAGAGGATGGAGGCTTGATCCAAGTATGGTGTCTGGGAGGTGGGCCTTGTGGGAGGTCCTTAGGTCACTAGAGGCTGCCTTTGGAAGGTAGATACTGTGAAAGGGCTGTTGATGAAAGCTGAATTTGGGCTTCTCTCTCTCTCTCTCTCTCTCTCTCTCTCTGTCTCTGATTTCACACACTCTGTCATTGCCATCTTGTGGCCTCATCAGCTGGATAGACCAACGGGGATCTACCTACTCATGGACTGTGAACTTCAAAAATCATGAACCAAAAAAGCCTCTCCTTTGTAAATGGCTAGCCTTAGGTGCGCCATTGTTGTAACAAAAAACTAATACACCCAGTCTTGGGTCTTCTGTTATGGTAGCAAAGTGGCTCAAGATGATAGCTAACAAAGGTACTGTTTAATGTACATGTAATAAAGGTAAATCAAGGATGATTGGCCAGGGCTGAGGGAAACAGGTGCAGTCGGAAGTATTGATCACTGCCCATTTTCTGTTCCTGGACCTGTTCTCAGATCCAAACCCTAGTAACTGTGGAACAGCTGCGTCCCTCTGAGACAGGACACTGCTTCTCTGGAGTGACCTTGCTCCATGGGAATTACCCCAGACCTGTCCCAAGGTGCCCTCATGGTCATTTCATTCGGTAATCGTGTGCTGGGAACTATACTCAGATCTTCAAAGATCTGAAAAAAGTTTCAGACTTTTCACAGGCTCTGAACTGACATTAAAACCCAGGGACCCCATAATGGGGACATTGAAGTCTGTGTCATCCGTGGAGTCCTGGCCTGGATCTGCTCACAGTGGGTCCACTGGGTCCGTGGATCCATCTGGTGGTCATTTCCCAGGCCCAGAGTGTAATTGGAGTGGAGCTGCTTGGTGGCTGGCAGAACCCTCACAGTAGACCCTTGAGCTGTCAGGTAACCACTGTGGTAGTGAGAAAGACCAAGTGGAAGGCTCAGAACCCACCCTCCTCCCAGGCCAAGATGGTGCATTAAACAGTGATACTGCATCCTGGGAAGACTGGCAGAGACTGCTACTTTCAGAAACCTACAGTGTGCCATACCCCTATTTGATCCCCCAGGCAGACACCAGCAACACCATGTTGGATTCTGATGGGCAACCACCTACCTAACCCATACAAAACTCTGACCTGGTCACCAGCCTAGTGAAACTGGTCTGACCCAACTGGATGACAAATCCTGACCCAGGCGCATTGCAAAGCAGCCTGATATCCTCATCCCAAGGCAGGGACCCCAGGCACTCAGCAGAGGCACCTGAATGACATAGCCCTGAAACCCACGTCACGTGAGTGCCGCAGATCACTTCCAATGCTTACACAGCAGGAAAACTCAAATGTCGGCAGTCAGTCAACACACTCGGGAAACGTCTGCTGGCTTTGTTTCTTCCCTGCTTATCTTTTCTTGCACCTTATCCCCAAGAGCTCCCCTAGACTTTGCTGGATCAGGTTGCTTGTTTGACAAACCAACAGCCATTAAACTTGGGTCTCAACTAGACTTTTACTTTATTTTGACACCAAGTATAGCGCTGTTGCAGCTGCTGGGCCAGATGGGCTGTCCTTGTGTGAGAGAATGATCTGTTAACACCACTCTGGCAGCCATGCTCTGCCATCATGGAGCCAGAGTGAATTCCCTGGGAACACAGTCACGGGCACGCCCCAGGCCTCTCACCCTGTGTTGCAGCACAGTCCAAAGAGACCGAGGCCTTCTTGAGAGCATCACGTTGGTTCACTGTATTGAAAACTGTGTTGTAGTTTAGTTGGATGATCAAGACATGGCACATAGATTGGAGGTGCTGGTATACCACATGTTCTCCCTATGGTTGGAGGTAAATCCTATAAGGATACAGTGGCCTTTTATGTAAATGACATCTTTAGGGGTTCAGTGATCAGAGGCATGTTGGAATGTGCCTTCCAAAGGGTAATTCCTGCCTCTTGCCTCTTTCAACAGAAGCAGCACAAGCTTGGTAGGTTTCTTTGGGTTGTGGGGATCACATTTGTCATAGCTGGGATACAAGCCTGCTCCAGTTATAGAGAGTAAGGAAGGCTGAATGGGGTCCAGGACATGAGAACACTTTGAAGAAGATTCATGTGGTAGTGCAAGCAGCCTGCTGATTGGATCATTGGACCTGGTAGATGCTGTGGAGTCAGCAGTTTAGGCAGCCAGTGACAGAGGCTGATACAGAATGACCAAGTTAATCCTCCCATGTCGTTGATCAGTGCCTCTTTGGTGATACGGGGAGACTGGCACAGCCATGAGCTAAGGCACAGGGCTTGGTAGGCTGAGCTCAGGCCTCGTCCGAGATGCTATTTACCATCTTGTTCAGACAGTCGTGGGAAGTACACCGCCTGCACAGCTGTATACTGTGAAAATAAGCAGTGCCTCTGGAAGTACCCTTCAGCCTCCAGCCGGAATCCGTGTCCCTGCTTGATGGCTAAGAAGACTGAGGCACGAGGGGATTCCAATTCAATACCATCAAGGTGGCATCTGCCAATGCCATCTCACTAGTCAGAGTGATCAGTTTCAGTTCACAATTGATCATAATGATAGGATTAAGAGTCAAAAGGATCACATAAACAAGACTAGTGTCTGCTAATACTAACTGATAGAATTAAAAAGGAGAGAACGATCCAACTGGGCAGCGGGATACACAGCAGACTCATAGAATGGCAGATGTCCTAAACAGCACTCTGGCCTCAGAATCAGCCCTTAAGGCATTTGGATCTGGCTGAAGAGCCCATGAGAGTATTTTAGGCATGGAAAGCCAAGACACTCTGGCAAAAAAAAAAAAACAAACAAACAAACAAACAAAAAAAAACACCCTAAAAGAAAGATCTCTGCGAATGAGATCCCAGTGGAAAGAACGGGCCATCAAAGAAGGAGGTACCTTTCTCTGAAGGGAGGAGAGAACTTCCACTTTGACTATGACTCAAAAGGCTTCCATAGCCTTGACAACTCATGTTAAGAGCCTAGGGTGATTATTGACGCCATAAACAAGAGTGTCACTTGTTAAGTCAACAACAGGAGTCACTGTGCACTTACTCCCCATGTAGGATCTCTGTCCTTAATGTGTTGTACAATATGAATTAATGCTATAACTAGTACTCAAACAGTACTTTATACTTTGTGTTTCTGTGCGGGTGCAAACTGTTAAAATCTTTATTTAGTATATACTAAATTGATCTTCTGTATATAAAGATAATTGAAAGTGAATCTTGATGTGAATGGAATGGGAGAGGGAGCAGCAGATGGGAGGGTTGTGGGTGGGAGGGAAATCATGGGGGGAAAAAGCCACTGTAATCCAAAAGCTGTACTTTGGAAATTTATATTTATTAAATAAATGTTAAAAAAAAAAGAAGACTGAGGCACGGCTGACTTTTTCTTTTTTTTTTAATATTTATTTATTTGATAGGCAGAGTTACACACAGAGAGAAGGAGAAGCAGAGAGAGAGAGGTCTTCCATCCATTGGTTCAATTGGTCCCAATTGGCTGTAACAGCCAAAGATGAGCTGATCTGAAGCTAGCAGTCAGGAGCTTCTTCTGGGTCTCCTACGCAGGTGCAGGTACCCAAGCACTTGGGCCTTCTTCTACTGCTTCTCCAGGCCATAGAAGAGAGCTGGATCGGAAATGGAGCAGCTGGGATTTGAACCAGCACTCATTTGGGATGCCAGCATGGCAGGCAGCAACTTAACCTGCTAGGGCACAGCATTGGCCCCACGGCTGACTTTCTAGAGAAGCATGTTAAGGGTCTTACTAAGGCTCATCCAAGAGCCATCCGTTTATTCATTGACCAGTGGCTTATGGAGCATCTTTTCAGGAATGAACACTCTGTTCAGCACCAAGGGTAGCAAATCAGACACAACCTATGTTCTCAAAAATGTCTCGGTTTGAAGTAAACGGAGGAGGAAGGAAACACAGAAGCCAACAGGTAGTTCTCACACAGTGGCATCACTGTTAGCAGAGGTGCTGGGCGATCTTGGAGACTTACCTGCCCCAGAGAGAAACAGGTGATGGCGGTGGGGCAGCGGGAGACGAGAGAGAAAGAGACATGAGCCAGGCAGCCAGTGCGGACCAGGGGCTCCGAGTGGCTAGAGCCAGGGTGGGGGAGGGGGATGGCAAGGAGAGTCATTCAGGTTCCAGACTCCTTTCTTGTCAGTAGCTCCTGCTCCAGGGGGCAGCTGTCCCCAGAGCCACGGCAGTGGGCGAGGCCCTGGGCCATTTCATTAGGGAGGTTTCCCCCGCCCCGATTCATCTCCTAAGCCCTATTAAGTCTCTTACTTAGTGGGGAAGCAGCAAATCAAGATGACATTTCCAAAGCAGTGGCCCAGCCTGTTCCTGGAGGAACAGCTAAATCCTCACCCATATTAAATACCTTCTCAACAGCAACGGCCGGGCCATTTAGGAAAATTAAAAGGAACGAGCCGAATGGAGAGCAGGGAGATTAAAAACAAGTGTAATAGTGTTTCCAGTGCTGTGGCAATTAGGAGACCTCACATATGGCCTTTTCACTTGATCCTTTCCTGGGCTTATCCTGCATCTGCATCCACCAGAGGCCCAGTCATTAGGAAAGTGGTTCTGCACCAGGGTACTCAGGTTTCTGGCTCTCTGTCGTTGGGCCAGCCAGGTACTTGGCTCCTGGCCGGCCCCAGACTGCATGTCTCCCATGCACACGCTTTGCATGGAGAAAAATCAATGTGTGGAGAGCTTTCTGGAAGGCGGCAGATTTTAAGGTTTATCTCTACTCAAGTTCATCAAGTTAAAAGAACGCTATGATGCCAATTTTGACCCACTGGATTAACACAGGTCAAGAAAAGAACACTTAAATGCTACCAAGGATGTGCTAAGGAGGGCGTGGCTGGACCCTGCTGGTGGAAACTGATGCCAGCTGTTAATAGAGCGCTTAGGCCCAGCACATCAAGAGTTCTGATGTGCATTAAGGACTCAAAATATGTCTCAACAGTTGGTATACTAAGTCTACTTCTAAAAATAGGACCAAAGGAAATATGGAAAGTGTGGGAAAAGAGTTAGGCAGGGACATGTTCCCTGAAATGTAATTTGTAGCACTAAAAGGGAGGAACGCTAGAATTAATTTCTCCTATCTATTTGTGTCTTGGTACCCATTACCCAGCCTCCTGCTGTCTGCCTGTACTCCCTGGGAGTCTCTGGTAATTCCCGTTTAGCTTTCAGACCGACTTTTTCAGTTTCCACATATGAGAAAGGACATGTAGTATTTGTATCTGTGTCTGGCTTCTTTCACTGAACCTGATGTCCTGTGGCACAGTCGTGGCTGTCATTCACAATAGTCTTGTACATGTTTTATGAAGGACTGGAAGAGGACTGCACAGTGATTAAAGCCACGGCCAGCAATGCTGGCATCCCATGAGTGCTGGTTCTAGCCCCAGCTGCTCAACTTCCAATCCAGCTCTCTGTTGTGGCCTAGGAAAGCAGTAGAAGATGGTCAAAGTCCTTGGGTCCCTGAACTCACATGGGAGACCCAAAAGAAGCTCCTGGCTCCTAAATTTGGCCTGGCCCAGCCCAATCATTGTGGCCATTTGGGGAGTGAATCAGCAAATGGAAGATTCTCTCTCTCTCTCTCTCTCTCCAATTCTGCCTTTCAAATAATTAAACAAATCTTAAAAAAACATGAAGACAGGAGGAGCCCACATGAATAAATGATATAATAGGGAAATGTGGAAATGCTAATGACTGATTTGAGCAATATAATTGTATTCATGTATTAGAATACCTCATTAGGGGCCAGCACTGTGGTGTAGTGGGTAAAGCCCCCACCTGTAGTGCCAGCATCCCGTATGGGTGCTGATTCAAGTCCCAGCTGCTCCACTTCTGATCTAGCTCTCTGCTATGGCCTAGGAAAGCAGTAGAAGATGGCCCAAGCGCTTGGGCCCCTGCACCTGCACGGGAGACCAGGAGGAAACACCTGACTTCTGGCTTCGGATTGGCACAGCGCTGGCCGTAGCGGCCATTTGGGGGGTGAACCAACAGAAGGAAGACCTTTCTCTTTGTCTCTCTCTCTCTCTCTCTCTCACTATCTCTAACTCAACCTGTCAAATAAATTTTTAAAAAATTCCTTCAAAGTGCAGACAGGACTCCAGCCAGGCCCTCTCACTCAGGTGCTCAGGTCATGATCTAACCACTGCACCAGACTCCTGCCCTGGTACATCTGTTTCTGTTGCCTGCCACTTTCCTGAGCAGTCAGCTGAACCGACCAGTTAGTGAATGCTGTTTCCAACGTAAACACAGTCGTCGGTGCCCAAGGCACTGGGAGAGCTTTTGGCAGATCAGCTTCTCACCTCTGCAACCTTCAGCTCAGCTGTCTGCTCTCTGAAAGCCCGTTGTTTATTATTCTAACACTTT